TAAAAGGCATTTGATTTACCTCTTCCTACCTGTCACAACAATTTAATAACATAAAATAAGATCCACAAGATTACACGTTTTTAGAGAAAATGGCCAGAATCAGATTGCAATGAACTGTAAACTACCTCTCAGTCTCTGGAGTTTTTATCCTTTTCCTGACCAGATGTCAAATGTTGTGCATGGATTTCATTAAAAAAGAAAAACATGTCTTTCCTCATTGTCCTAGGAATTGCTATGAGTTAGGAATTTTTCTCCCCAATTCCTAATTCCCAAATTTTTTTGAAGTTATTTATGAAAGAGTCCCTAATATTCTGTGAGGTGTTATCTAGGTATATTGAAAAATAGCAACTATTTCAAATTTAACGTTACTAAAGGATTTAGAAGATTAGCAAATCTAACCACCTGTGGCATCATCTTGAAGAGGACATTGTTGTGGTCTGAATGTTTGTGTTCCCACCAATTTCATGTTGGAACCCAAAACAATGGTATTAAGAAGTGGAGCCATGAACCAGGAATGTGGCTTAGTGGTAGAGTGCTTGCTTAGCATGCATGAATCCCTGGGTTTGATTCCTCAGGACCACATAAACAGAAAAGGCCAGAAATGGCACTTTGGCTCAAGTGGTAGAGCGCCAGCTTTGAGCACAGAGAGGCTCAGTAATAGAGCCCAGTCTCGAGTTCAAGCCCCAGGACTGGCAAAAACAAAGCAGAAACCAGATGAGCATCAGTGGCTCACACCTGTAATCCTAGCTACTCAGGAGGCTGAGATCTGAGGATTATAGTTCAAAGCCAGCCTGGGCAGGAAAGTCCCTGAGACTTTTTTTTTCTGATGGTCGTGGGGCTTGAACTCGGCTTGGGCACTAACCCTGTACTCTTCAGCTCCAGGCAAGAGCTCTACCGCTTGAGCCACAGCACCACTTCCGGTTTTCTGGTGGTTTTTTGGAGATTTCTTGCCTGGGCTGGCTTTGAACCATGATCCTCAGATCTCAGCCTCCTGAGTAGCTAGGATGACAGGTGGGAGCCACTGGAGTCCAGCCCTGAGACTCTTCAATTAACCACTAGAAAACTGGACGTGATGCTGTGGCTGAAAGTGGTAGAGCACTATCCTTGAGTCAAAAAGTTCAGACAGGCTGGGAAGGTGGCTCAGTGGTAGAGCGCTTGCCTTGCATGCCTGAGGCCCTGGGTTCAATTCCTCAGCACCACATAAGCAAAAAGAAAAAAGCCGGAAGTGGCGCTGTGGCTCAAGTGGTAGAGTGCTAGCCTTGAGCTGAAGAGCTGAGGGACAGCGCCCAGGCCCAGAGTTCAGGCCCCACGACTGGACCCCAAAAAAAATATTAAAAAAAGTTCAGACAGTACCCAGTCCCTGAGTTCAAGCCCCATGACTGACAAAAATAAAAGTGGAGCTTTTGGGGTGGTTACTAATTCATGAAGGTAGAAGTCTCAGGAAGGGATGAGTGCCCTTACCAAATTCAGATGGAATTTTTAGAGTTCCCAAACAGTGGGAATCACCTTGGAAGAACAACAAAGTTGGAGGATTCACACCTCAAGTTCAAAGCTTATGAAAAAACTAGCAGTCAAAACAGTATGATATTGATATAAAGGTAAACATATAAATACATGGAATTAAGTTGAGAGCCCAGAAAGAAGCACAAAGCTATGATAGATTGGGTTTTTGATATGTGTAAATACCATTCAGTGGGGGGAAAAATAGTCTTTACTACATGGCGGTGGGCAATTGAATGTCCACATGGAAATGATGAATTTGGACAAACGGAAATTAACTTCAGATTAATCAGAACACAGATGTCAATTGAGCATGGTGGCTTAAGCCTGTCATTCTAGCTACTTGCAGGGGGCGGGGGCAGAAATCAAGGTTTGAGGCTAGATAGGGCAAAAAAAAGTTCCCAAGACTCCATCTCAACCAATGGCTAGGCATCAAGCCTCACACTTGTCTTGCTAACCATAGGAGAAGCACAACGGCAGCAGCGTGGCCTATCTCTTGCAGCTCCTCTCAACACTCATGTTGGAGGTTACATTCCCAGCACACAAACTTGGGGGACATGTTCAAACCAAAGCCTCCCCCATGTTTCATGCTCTCTCCTCTATCCTTAGTGCTTAGAGGACCAGTTATCAGGTTGGGGCAATGTTTTGGGTTCAGAGACAGGATTCCTTCCTTCAACGTTTTCTGACTTTGAACGTACATTACTACTGAGTTTCCATTACTTCCGGGTAAGTTGTAACAGACACACTGTTCTATTCAAGAGTCCTTTTGACCTAAAGCAAATAGATACAAGGCAGTCTTGGTCCGCTTGCATCTTTTTGTGCCTGTTTCCAGGGTGAGAGGAATCAGACTGAATTGACTTCTCTAAACAGATCCCACTTTCCCAAGTCTTCCTCTTTTTGTTTTTTAAATTTGAGGTGCATGCATGTGTGCCAGTGTGCCAGTACTGGGGCTTGAACTCAAGGCTGGAGCATTGTCCTTTATCTTATATGCTCAAATGTGATCACACATCCACTTCCATCTTTTTTGGAGATCAGTCTCATGGAGTTTTCTGCCCGGACTGGCTTCAAAGCACAATCCTCCTATCTCAGCTTCCTGAGTAACTAGGATTACAGGCATGATCTGTTTCCGAAAACAAATTTTTTTTTTATTTACAGGCATTCTCATTTTTCTCACTTTTACAAAGATGAAGTGGCAGAGTTCTTGCATGAGGCCCTGGGTTCAATCTCCAGTGAAACAATGAAAATTTTAGCCCATAGTCCAGTCCAGTTCTCACAGGGAGTATGCATGTTTTATGAGATGTAGTTGGCTATAAGACCACTAAAAGCCACCTGTTCACTAGACTCCTTTCTAGAAAAGAATTTATATGTGTGTATACATGTATATATTTGTTATTGTACAGGTGATGTACAAAGGGGTTACAGTATCAATTTCTTTTTGGACAGTGTCACCCCTTCCCTCATTCTCTCTGTTTTTCCCTCCCATCCCCAGCCACAAGTTGTATAGTTCATTATCCACATAGTGTCTAGTGAGTACCACTGCTACATTGTTCACCCTTTATCCCACCTTTTCTGTGCCCCCCCTTACCTTCCCAAAGACAAAGAAGACAAAAGAAAAATGAGAGAGGAGGGAACAGCTGATACTAAGCAAAAGAAAAGAAATATACTTGTCACTTATGTAAAGGTAGCTGTGCTCTATATCACTTCTAAAACAACAATAAAAAAAAAAAACCAGCAAGAATAGCCAGGTGCTGGTGGCTCATGCCTGTAATCCTAACTACCAGGAGGCTGAGATCTGAGGATCAGGGTTTAAAGCCAGCCTGGGCAGGAAAGTCCGTGAGACTCTTATCTCCAATGAACCACCAGAAAACCGGAAGTGGTACTGTGGCTCAAGTGATAGAGTGCTAGCCTTGAGCTGAAGAACTGAGGGACAGTGTCCAGGCCCAGAATTCAAGTCTCATGCCGACAAAAACAACAACAAAAAAACCCCCAGCAAGAACAACAACAAAAACCTCTTGTTTCCATTTCTTGTAGTTCATTTTGTAAATTTTATTTATTTATTTACTTACTTGCTAGTTGTGGGGCCTGAACTCTGGGCCTGGGCACTGTCCCCCTGTGATTCAGCTCAAGGCTAGCACTCTACGACTTGAATCACAGCGCCACTTCTGGCTATTTCTGCTTATGTGGTGCTGAGAAATCGAACCCAGGGCGTCATGCATGCAATGCAAGCACTCTACCACTGAGCCACCTTCCCAGCTCTTGTAAAATATTTTATATGATCATATGCACAAAGCTATTGAGCCTTTGTGATCCATTTCTATGAATATGCTCCTTTGGTCTCACTGTTTGACTGTCGAGAGACAGGTATAATTTATCATGTCCCAGTGGCTTTCTGTGTTTTTTTGCTTTTGTTTTTACCATCCAGTGTGTTTACTTGTAGATTTACAGGCACATTCTAGCTACCACGAATGAGGGAAACCATGCAACCTCTTTGGGTCTGGCTTACTTAACATTTTTCTGAGTCTTTCCATTTCCAGACAAATGGTATAATATGATTCTTCCTGGTAGAAAAGAACCTTAGAGAAGGCCAAGACCTTGTTTGTGCAAGGAATCCCAGGCAGCTAGAGAAGTTCTGCCAGAACCAGCAGATGAGCTTGGATAACAGTTAGCTGTGACCAAGTCCCCTAAACTAATGGTTTAGGGCTCAGTGACCCACCTAGTAACTCAAGTCTGTGTTGGCAGAAATCCAGTGGGCTCCAAGTAGCCAAATATGCCCAACTTGAGCACAACCCTACAGGGCAGACAGAGCCCACAGCACACAAAAGAATTTGAGGCACAATCCCACTAGAGTTCCCCTCTACAAGCCAGAGTTATCTGCAATGGAGCTCATGAACAAACCATCAACTGTACCCAGTGTCCCATCTGCCCCAGACCCTCAGGGACAACTCTGAATGCCAGGAGTCTGAATGGAACACCACAGGGCCATGTCCCCATGATGACCTGGAAGTGCCATCTCTAATCTCACCTGCCCCAGAGTCCAACTAAGGCAATGGGACTGTTCCCAGGCAACAGACTCAGCTCAGAAAGATGCCATATGAGTGTGTGGCAGCTGGAGGCTCTGCTTATCACAGCAAATGGACCAAATCGAGCAATATATTTCTGAAGGGCAAGGTTTCCTGGACAAGGAATGTACAGAAGGGATCCTGCAGAAGAGAGATCGTAGGGTCCAGTGGATCCTGCCCAGGATGATTTGTAAGTGAAAGGATCCTGCACATCCATCCCAGGAGGTTTATTAGAGGAGCCATATTTTTCCAGAAGAGGGAGCACACGGCATCTGTCCCTATCCAGGAAGCAGAAGGGACTGGGGGAGGGGGGAGGAAGTGAGGTAGGTGGGAGCTCAGGGGGGCCTGGGTAGAGAGAGGGAGAGGCCAGCTGTAAGGCAGGAACTCCAGGGCAGGGAGGAGCTCAGGTCTGGGTGGAGCCAAGGACCAAAGGTGGGCATAATGCGAACAGTAAGAACCACACGCCCGACTCCCAGCATGCGATGAATTTTCTACCCATTCTAGAAAAAAATAATAATAAAGCATCCTTCCAAACATAAGAATCACTGACAATGTTTTTGAAATGTACCATTTCGTTAAATTTATAGATAGACGATTATGGTTTTAGTTATTTTATTTTCCAAGATCTGGGCTTTGTGGCAATTCACATCGATGTTCAATGCACCCATTCTTGGTAACTGAATCAATTTCCAGTGAGATGTAGGTGTGCTGAGATTTGACAGAGGTGAACCCAGTTTCTTCAAAAAGTTCATGGCTCAACCCAGACACAAACTGAAAGCTATGGCCCGCCCTGAGCTTCAGAGCCCGTCCTCAGCAGAGGGAAAGAACCCCCAAAACCATTGTTAGGTATTTCCAAAAGCTCCAAATCAGCTCACCCAGGAAGCCTTTCTCCATGGGAAATAAACCACAAAACACAGCTGGAAGTTCACATAGTGAACACTGGTAAACTGGATGAGAATATAAGGCACCCTCAAGTTCAGCAGAAATCCTGCTGTCTTCAAATTCCTTGTACAATTGCAAGGCCGTCATCAGATGGCTCAACAAATACTGCCCAAGGGATGATCAACACCTGATTGCCAAGACAAACCCACAGCCTAGACAAACTCAGGAGCCCAGCTTCAGGACCAGGTGCCTTCCTGGGATACCGAAATCAGCAGGAAGCAGGCAAGGATCATTGTGTGTGCACCCTGTGGCTATAATCCAAGCTTAGACCACTCTAGCCCTGGCAACCACTCTGCCAAGGATATTGAATGTTGAGTACAGATGGGTACTGACTAAAGCTCTCCATCCCCAAAGTTGGGGCAACCAGTACCCCCACATATGCACACCCCCTGACCTCCCCAAAGGCAGTGTAAATACAATTAAATGCAGAATCAAACCAAATCATCTCCAGTTCATTCTTCTCTTCTGGTCAGAGTGGGAGCGGGGCTCAGGGGTGAGGTGGGGGGAAAGGGCATTCCCAAGTTCTTTAGTGGATTTCTTATTTTACTCTGCTGGAACAGCAAAGTCAGAGGCTGATTTATCAGCTATAGATAAATCTACACCTCAGTGGTACAGTCCTTCCCTAGCATGCATGAGGCCCTGGGTTCACTTCCTCATTACCACACAAACAGAAAAAAACAAAAGTCATGCTGTGGCTCAAGTGGTAGAGTGCTAGCCTTCAGCAAAAGGCCCTGAGTTCAAGACACATAACTGGCAAAAAAACAAGAAGGAAAAAAAAAAGAAAAGAAATGTGCCCACTTGAGAATCCATGGCCGCCTTGAGATCAGGCACACCCTCCCCTGAGCAGGTCTTTGAGACCTGCTGAGTCCATAGCCCTTCCATGCTAAAAGAAGACTGAGCATCAGCTCACCCCTGCCTTTCTCCTCTTTGCCTCTCAACTATTCAAATCAATGGCACAGACGGACTCTGATGCTGGCCTTGTTCAGAGCAGGAAGGGCCCAAGCAGAAGGAGCTCAGAAGGAAAGATCCAGGGACAGGATTGAATTGATCCCACCCAGCTTAATTGTCTGTTCCTGTGCACCCAGCAACTCCCCACTGCCCAGGCCCACTGACACCAGACGCTTCCACTTTCTTCTTTGGGTTTCCCGCATGTGATATAGATTGAATGTGCTAAAGACCAAGGGATCCTTGGAAGCTTAAGTTCCTCATGGTCACCACCATATCTGGGTCCTGTCCTCCCGACTGACCCCACTTCTAGGCGGCAGTGATTCAACTCTACTGACTCCAAACCAAGCCCTGGACTTCAGACAATTTGAACTTTAGTCAGCAGTGCACATTTGAGCAGCAGCATAGCCCTGAGGATACTCAGGAAGGATACCCAGGAGACAGAATTCCTCAGCATGATTGGCTGCAGAGAGTCAGGCCCACCCTCTTGGAGTAGGAATCACAGCTACCTTAGGGCATTCCCTGAAAGGATTTGGCTCAGGACCTTAAATCAATCAATAGCTGGGTGAATCAGATGGGTGCTATTTGGATTCTCTGCCATTGTGGGAGATTTCAGGGCTCCCAGGGAACAAAACACATGCCCAAGATGAAGGGCAGGAGAAAGTGCTAGGCTCAAGCTCAGTTCAGTCACTAAGGCCTTGGGGAGGTGTGGTGGCATATGACTATAATCCATTTAAACACCAGTCGGTTACAGTTTGAAAGGGATAGAGGTGTGACTTAGTTGATAGAGACTTAGTCAATGAGCAGAGAATCGAAGTCTGAGTTTGAGTCCTGGACTTGCAACAAAAAGAAAAAGAGTGAAAAGAAAGAGAAGGAAAAGAGAGAGAGAGAGATAGAGAGAGAGAGACAGAGACAGAAAGAGACAGAGACAAAGAGAGAGACAGAGATAGTACCTTGTTCTGTTCGTGGACATTGGAGCCAGCTGGGGCTTGGCTCCCCCTCTCTTGTTGTGATGTTGAATTCCTGGAAATATATTCATGGCTCTCTGTCCTGCACTCTGCACTCTAGTCCCCTCCCTTAGACTCCTCTTTCAGTTTAGTTACAAGTGCCATAAAGTTTCCCCCAGCATGCTCTCCCCTTTGCGTTTGGGAACATGGAGCCCAACACCCTGGGGACACTGCTACCATATTGATTTGCATACGAAGTGAAATAAGCAAGACACAGAAAGAAAAATACCATATGCTGTCTCTCACATGTAGAAACTAAAAGTTTGATCTCTAAGTTAAAGAGAGTATATTATTAATTATTAGAAGGCAGGAAAGGTGGGGAGTAGGAAGAGGAGAGGAGACAAGGGAGGCTGGATAATGGAGGGATATATTTTTGGGTTCTACAGCACAATGATGTTACAGTTCACAAGAACTGGAGTATTATATGCATTAATAGCTGCACACTGGTGGCTCAACACTGGAATCCTAGCTACTCAAGAGGCTGAGATCTGAGGATCACAGTTCAAAGCCAGCCCAGGTAGGAAAGTGCTTAAGATTCTGATTTCCAATTCACCACGAGAAAACTGCACCTAGAGCTGGGGTTCAAAGTGGTAACGCACTAGCCGTGAGCATAAAAGCTCAGGGACAGTGCCCTGGTGCCAAGTTCAAGCCCCACATCTGACCAACCAAACAAACCACATGACTATTAATAACTTATTAAATTACAAAATAATATTCTGTTATATATTTTATGAAGACCCAGAAGAGATGAGCTCAGAGATGTCAAACAGTAGAAAATTAAAATTAAACCAAGTATGGTAGATTATAGGACACTTCTATATTTCCAGCCTTTGAAAGCTGGAAGAAGGGTAGAGAGTTTAAAGTTGTCTGGGTTTGGAAGCCAGCTGCTGACTTGAAAATATATTTTGTTAAGAACAGGAATAAGGGGCTGAAAATGTTAATTCCTCTCAATACATTGTTAAGCATTGCATACAACACCCTGGTATACCACACCATATCTCATAGTATATCTTGACAAAAAATACACAAATATTGTGAAATCATGTTTTTAAGCATAAGATGAAGTTTAATGATTTTCTCCTCAATTGTTCAAATTTCAGTTTATGTGATAGAATTCACCAGATGACAGGAAATGACTAAATTAGTTAGTGTTGGGTGTGTATATGTGTATGCGTGCTGGTACTGGGACTTGAACTCAGAGCCTTGTACTCAACTTGGCTTTATTTTGGTCAAGGCTGGCACACTACCACTTGAGCCACAGCTCTACTTCCAATTTTTGGTGGTTAATGGGGAATAAAGTCTCTGGTGGCACTTTCCTGCCAGGAGGACTGGCTTTAATCCACAATCTTCAGATCTCAGCCTGCAGAGTAGATAGGATTACTGGTGGAGAGACCCACCTTTTACACCCAGTAGGGTGTGGGCCACACCCTGCACAGCCAAGGCAGTATAAATGGCCAGCTCTCCAGTGCATTCAGACACCAGCAGGAGCTGAGAGCAGCCAACTCTGCTCCACAACCAGCACCTCTGGGCTCCCCTCTGGACGCCACTGTGGGATCCTTGCCGACCTCGGACAAGGCTTCAGTCAAAGAATCCAGGAGGAAGCTTCAGGTAAGCTGGTGGCATCCTCATTCTTGGGGGTTTGGCTTTGTTGCCTTATAATCCTGGACTCAGACTTGGGGGTGGGTTGCAGAGGAGGAGTCCCAGGATTGTAAGGAAGGATTCAAGCATATTTTTCTTTAGTTTTTTTGAATCACACATTTTTCTGAGGTCACTCTGAGACAGAGTCTCCTACTTACAAAGCTTTGCGTATAGCTGCGACTACAAAGGAAGGGGGACTAGGCAGAGAGTGAGACAGGGAAAGAGTGTCCACTCATTATGTGCCAGGTTGTCATTGTTGGATTATGAGCCTCTACACCCTGCTTCTGGCCACTTCAGTATTATGGAAGAATAGCTGGATTTTCTTCGGGGAGGTGGTGGTAAATATCTTATGTGTGTGTGTTATGCCTAGGCAACGGCTTGAATTCAGGCCTCACATTCTTGCTTAGTTTTGTTCAAGTCTGGTGCTGTACCACTTGAGTCACAACACCACTTCCGGCAATTGGAGAAGAGTCTCTTGTGCTTTGTCTTCCTGTGCTGGTGATCCTCAGACCTCAGCCTCCTGAGAGACACCAGAGAGTGACTTTCATTTTCTTGTTAGCTCTTGGTCAGAGCCTGGATGTTTATTGTCCAGTGTCTAAAAACCATTGGCTTAGCCAGATGCCTGTGGCTCCTGACTGTAATCCTAGCTATTCAAGAGGCTAAGATGTGAAATCAAGGTTCAAAGCCAGCCAGGACAGGAAAGCCTGTGAGGTTTTTTTGCTAGTGCCTAGTGCTAGTGCCTGAGCACAGTCCCTGAGCCAATCTCTGGTCAAGGCTAGCACAGTGCCACTTGAACCCCAGTGCTACTTACAGCTTTTTCTGTTGATGTGGTACTGAGGAATGGAACCCAGGGCTACATGCATGCTAGGCAAGCACTCTAGCACTAAGCCACATTCACAACCCCACCTTAACTTTTTAATGCCAAGTTGCTGGAGAAAGGGGACACAGATTGGAGACACTTTCTTGGTTAATAGTCAGAATATAAAGATCTCAGTGTTATTTTTGTATAGGTACTGAGACTTGAGCACAGGGTTCAGACACTATCCTTTATTGGGTTTTGTTGTTATGCTTGCTTTTTGAGAGACAATTTGACTATGGCTTTTTCCTGATGGTAACTGGCAGTAAGAGTCTCATGGACTTTCTTGCTTGGGCTAGTTTCAAACCTTGATCCTCACATCCCAGCCTCCTGAATCTAGGGATGGGTCCTGGGTGCCTAATCCTCCCTTATTTTAGAATGTGCTTGTATCTCCAGAGAAGTCCTGAAAGGTTTTATTTCCAATGCTCTGATTTGACTAATCCTTTCATTAATTCACAAGGTAGTCAGTAAGAGATCCTGCTTCTAGGAATGACTTGTTAATGTTGTGCTACATTGCTGGGGATGGAACCTAAACCTAGGTATGAGATCTAAGTGTGAATGTAACCACCGTTCCTCTCTTCTTCTTTCAATTAGGATTCAAGTTCTCAGACTAGTTTTACAAACACACAAACAGTAATGGAGAGACAGGAAAATCAAGCACCCACAGCACCCACAGGTACAATGTTTTCAGAGTTCTATCTCTACCAGAGAAAACTTCCTAAGTCTCCAATTTCCAGAGACTGACATGTTTATGCTAGACCCCCACAAGGGGATGGCTCTGGGGATGACATGGCTGCCCTCAGCCTTGTCCTGACCCCTGGGGCCTAGGGGCCACAGAGTTTATGAGAGGACCCAGTGAGGGTAGGGGGCTTTCCAGGTAGCAAATATACCACTAAGGGTCTATCTACTCTCTGAACTGTAGTATTTTTAATTCCATTTGAACAGCATCTAGATCTGTCCTGGTGAATTGATGTGTTGGACATGAACACTCAGATAGATCTGAGTCTCAAATCTTCACCCTGTTAAGATTTGATCACCTCCTGCTAACGAAATGTAGCCATGTTTAAGCCAGGGAATGTAAAGGCAAGATCTGGAAGACTTCCTCCAGAAGAACCAGGAGGTGGAACTCAAGTCTATCTACCTTGTTTTGTTCCATTCACAGGTCAGTTAGCTAATTCGTGGGCTCACCAGGAAATCCAGTTCTTCTTGGAAGAATGGGAGTTTCTGGAGTCCAACCTGGACCTCAAAGTGGACAAGAAGGACGATGTCCTGGCCAGGAAAATTGCTCTGCGTCTCAAGCAGAGAGGCATCAAGAAGAGCTGGCGAAAATGCCGGATCATGTTGCTAGGTCTGCAGGATTTGTATTGGACCATTTTCGAGGCCAACCAGAAGCCGAGGAGTGAACCATTACCCTGCCCTTTCGCACAGCCACTGCAGCGCATTTTGGGTCCTCAAAACAACAAGGAACAAAGCTCAGGTTTGTCTCTTTATATAAAGTCCTGTAGTAGTGGGAGACATCTGCTGTCTGGCCCCGTCCTCATGGAGACCCAAGGAGGGTCTGTCCTCCCAAAGTACTTGGTGAGCTGAGCATTCAACTCTGCTCTCTCTCTTTCCCTCTCTTCCTATTGCCTGTAAGTGTTCAGTCCCAAAGCAGTAACTGCCAGGGAGTTTGTTGGGAATGGAGAGGACCCGGGGCCAGGCAGCTTTCCTGGGTGCAGGGCTTCGGGACAGGTGAAGGGCTCATGAGCTTCCGTGTGCCTTCCTTCCTCAGGCTCTGCATGTGAACACGCTGTTGGCTTCGCACCTTCTCAGGCGCAGCCTCAGCCCTGCGCGGCTCCACCTCTGCTCTCTGCCCAAGAGCCTCAGGCAGCGGCCTGGCAGCACTGCAGCGCGGGCCAGCCTTCCTTGGCGATGCCACACATGCCTGCCACCGTCCCTGGGGCCCCCTGGCACCAGCAGCAGGGGACCCCTCCCCCTTTCCCTGGGGCTCCCTACTACCCACAAATGGGGACCCCTCCCCCTTTCCCTGGGGCTCCCTACTACCCACAAATGGGGACCCCTCCCCCTTTCCCTGGGGTCCCCTGTTACCCGCAAATGGGGACCCCTCCCCCTTTCCCTGGGGCCCCCTACTACCCGCAAATGGGGACCACTCCCCCTTTCCCTGGGGCCCCCTACTACCCGCAAATGGGGACCCCTCCCCCTTTCCCTGGGGTCCCCTACTACCCGCAACTGGCTATTCCTTCCACTTTGCCTGGGGACCCCTACTACCCGCAACTGGCTATTCCTTCCACTTTGCCTGGGGACCCCTACTTGCCCCAACTGGGGAACCCTCCCAATTTTCCTGGAGTCCCCTACTACCCTCAGCTGGGAAATCGGCCCCCTTTCCCTGGTGTCCCCTGCTACCCTGAGTTGGGGACCCCTCCTCCTTTCCCTGGGGTCCCCTACTACCCGCAACTGGGGACCCCTCCTGGCGTCCCCTACTCCCCTGAACTGTGGATTCCTCCCCCTTTCCCGGGGGTCCCGTTCCAGCCTCAGGAGGCCACTACTCCCTCTTTAACTGAGATCTCCTCCGAGTCTCAGGAGGAGAGTTCTCCACTTTTTACTGAGACATCTTCGGAGACTCAGGAGGACACTCCTCCCCCTTCCTCAGATACCTCCTCCCAGCCTCAGGAAGGGAGTTCTCTACTTTTTACTGAGTCTTCCTCCCAGTCTCAGGAAGGGAGTCCTGTAGTTTTTACTGAGTCTTCCTCACAGCCTCAGGAAGGGAGTCCTGTAGTTTTTACTGAGTCTTCCTCCCAGCCTCAGGAGAGTCCTCCCCTTTTTAATGCGACCTCCTCCCAGATTCAGGAGGAGACTCCTCCCCTGACCCCTGAGGCCTCCTTCTAGCCTCAGGAGAGGACTCCTCCCTCTTTAGCTTTGGTCCACTCCCAGCCTATGGAAAGGGCTCCTCCCCCTTACCCTGGGGTTCCTTTCTATCTGCAGCTGGGGACTCATGCCCCTTTCCCTGGGGTCCCCAGCTACCCACATCTGGGGACTTCTCCCCCATTCCCTAGGGTTCCCTGCCCCCCACAGCTGGGGACTCCTCCCCCTTTTCCTGGGGTCTCCTGCTACCCGCAGCAGTTTCCAGTCTTGCCTAGAGCCTCTGTAAGGATAATTGCTGTTGGATGCTGGTAGCTCAGACTGCCTACTCAACAGAGTACATGTAGGGACCAGAGTTCAAAGCCACCCTGGACAGAAAAAAAACCTGTGAAATTCTTAATAGTTAATCAGCAAAAAGCCAGAAGCAGAACTGTCACCCAAGTAGTAGAGCACCAGCCTTGAAAAAGCCAAGCAAGAGTGTGAAGCCCTGACCTCCAGCCCCTGCAGCACCACAATGACATTTAAAATATTTCAAAGCCCTCAAATTGAAAAGACAAGAAAACAGGAGGAGGAGGAGGAGCAGGAGGAGGAGGAAGAGCAGGAGGAGAAGGAAAAGGAGAAGAATTTGTATCCTTGCCCACTGGGTGTCAGCCCTGGAAAGCTGAGGCCTCCTCCATGGACAATGCCACACAGGATTTCTCTGCTCACTCTGGAAGCTCCAGTCGCCTGCAAAGTTATCTTCTGACTTGGACCTAGATCACATGAATAAAGACCATTGCAAAGCACCCTAATCTGTCTCAAAAGGATCTTTCTTACTTTTGAGCCACTGTCACTAAACTCCCACACACCAACCACAAAGAAATAGAATTCATCTTGGCTCAGATGTCAGTTCCTGGTGGGGAGGTCCAAAGGGGAACAGAAGAGATCACAATATGGTGGCCGGGATGCAGAGAAAGGAAACAGAGAGGAAGGAGCCTGGGCAAACCACAGACCCCAAGGAAGAGAAAAAAAGAGTGTGTTGTGTGTAGGCCATCAGGACAAAGCCCCTCCACCCGGTCAGAGGTTTTGCATCCCTTACCATGACCTTGAGCAGTTGTGTGAGCACCCTAGACATTCCATCACCATGCCCTTGAGCAGTCTTGGGTATCTCCTTGGAAGGCCTCAGCTGAGTGGATCACACAGGTGTATGTCAGAACAGTCACCAGTGAGAGAGGCTAAAGGATGCATGGCTGTGTGGAGCCTCTAGTTGGGTCTGGGGGTTGATGTGCCTTACATACTGTGCAGGTGGTACTTTTCTCTTGAGGACCCTCCTATTTACCAGGAGCTCCTCTTACCTTCTTCCTCAATGGATCTTTGCCATTATATGTCTCATTCTTCTAGAGCATTGAGACATAGTATCTGATTCAGGTGTTGCAGTTTTCCATAGCTCAAGGACACACCCCATGGACTGCCACTTTTCTTCAACTAAGTCCCACCTTTTTCTTCCCAGTAAACCCATCATATTAAGAATCCATTCAAGGCATCCAAACAATGTAGTCCTCATAGTACATTGTCTGTGGAAACAAATACAATGCTCTATGCTGTTACCTATTCCTAGCTGAGGGCAGGGAGAATTGGGGACTGATTGGCCAAATAGTATCAAAGTTATTCGACATGAGTAAATTCTGGAGAGCTAATATTCAGCATGGTGATTACAGTGTTTACTAGGACAAATTTGTTTAGAGGGTACATCAACGCCTCACACACAAAATAGTTCATGTATTAGCTTGGTTGTGGTGATCATTTCACTATACAAACCGCCACCCCCACACCCACACCCGCCCACACACACACATTATATTAGGTGGTCCCAGGGACACAAATTCAGGGCCTCATGCATACTAGGCAAGTACTGTACCACCAAGGCCCATTCCCAGCTTAACACATACAAACCACAAATGCAAACAATACTTAGGCAATGCTGATGCTGGATCCCAGATCCTTGTACTAATTGGCCAGGAATGAGCTGGAGCTACATCTCCAGCCATCAACTTATGCTTTTTTTCTCAATGATACTTTGCTTTTGGTAAGCCTTAGGGCTGGAACTCAGGACCTGGATATATCTATCCCAGAGCTCATTTTGCTCAAGGCTAGTACTCTACCACTTTGAGCCACAGCTCCACTTCTGATTTTCTCGTAGCTCATTGGAGAGAAGAGTTTCAGGAAATTCCAGCTGTGGCTGGCTTTGAACTACAATCCTCAGGTCTCAGCCTCCTGAGAAGCTAGGATTATAGGCTTCAGCCACCAGCACCAACCTAAGATACTTCTGTAAGGCTCAATATTTAATTTCATATTATGAATGCTGGTTAAGAACACACAAAAGAGGCTCAGAATTGGGCTCAAAGGTAGAGTGATGGAATCACATGCATGAGGCCCTGGGTTTACTTCCTCATTACCACACAAAGAGAAAAAGCCAAAAGTGGTGCTGTGGCTCAAGTGGCAGAATGCTAGCCTTCAGCAAAAGCCCCTCAGGGACAGCTCCTAGGCCCTGAGTCCAAGTCCCAGGACTGGCAGAAAAAGAAAAGAGAAGCAATGTGTCCACTTGAGAATCCCTGTTCTCCTTGAGATCAGACACACACACCCTGAGCAGGTCTTTGAGACCTGCTGAGCCCATATCCTTCCATACTAAAAGAAGACTGAGCATCAGCTCACTCCTGCCTTTCTCCTCTTTGCCCCTCAATTACTCAAATCAGTGGCCTGCACAGACTCTGATTCTGGCCTTGGTCAGAGCAGGAAGGGCCCAAGCAAAAGGAGCCCAGAAGGAAAGATCCAGGGACGGGATTGGAGTGATCCAACCCAGCTTAGAAGTTGTCTGCTGCTGTGCACCCAGCAACTCCCCACTGCCCAGGCCCACTGACACCTGACCCTTCTGCTTTCTTCTTTGGGTTTCCCACATGTGATATAGATTGAATGTGCTAAAGACCAAGTGGTCCTGGGAACCTTAGGTTCCCCATGGTCACCACCATGTCTGGGTCCTGTCCTCCCGACTGACCCCACTCCTAGGCAGCAGTGATTCATGACTCCAAACCAAGACCTGGATGTCAGACAATTTGAACTTTAGTCAGCAGTGCACATTTGAACAGCAGCATAGCCCTGAGGATACTCAGGAAGGATACCCAGGAGACAGAATTCCTCAGCATGATTGGCTGCAGAGAGTCAGGCCCACCCTCTTGGAGTAGGAATCACAGCTACTTTAGGGCATTCCCTGAAAGGATTTGGCTCAGGACCTTAAATCAATCAATAGCTGGGTGAATCAGATGGGTGCTATTTGGATTCTCTACCATTGTGGGAGATTTCAGGGCTCCCAGGGAACAAAACACATGCCCAAGATGAAGGGCAGGAGCAAGTGCTAGGCTCAGGCTCAGGTCAGTCAGTAAAAACCAAGGCCTCAGACAGGTGTAGTGGCATATGACTATAAACCATTTAATCATTGTTCGGTTCCAGTTTGATGCCAAACTGAGTATAGAATGAGATGACAGAGACAGAGAGAGACAGGCAGACAGACAGAGTGAGACAGAGAGAAAAACAGAGACAGAGAGAGAAACAGAGAGACAGTGACAAAGAGAGAGAGAAAACGAGGGGAGAACCCTTTTACGGGATAGAGTGTGACTTAGTTGATAGAGGTTTAGCCAATGAGCAAAGCATCAAGGACTCAGCTGAGTCCTGGTCTTGCAACAACAACAGAAAAAGAGTGAAAGAAAGAGTAGGAAAAGAGACAGAGAGATAGACATAGAGATAGAAATAGAGACAGAGACAGGGACAGAGACAGAGACAGTTCTGTTCAAGGACACTGGAGCCAACAGGGGCCTGACTCCCCCTCTCTTGCTGTAATGTTCACCTTTTTTTCATGGCTCTCCGTCCTGCACTCTGCACTCTAGTTCCCTCCCTCACACTCTTTCAGTTTGGTTACAAGTGCCATCAACTCTCCCCCAGCATGCTCTTTCCTTAGCATTTTCAAACATGGAGCCCAACACCCTGGGGATCACTGCTACCATATTGATTTGTATATGATGTAAAATAAGTCAGGCATAGAAAGACAACTCCTATATGCGATCTCTCATATATAGGAACTAATAATTTGATCTCTAAGTAAAAGAGAGTAGATTATTAATTATTAGAAGGTAGGAAAGTAGGGAGGAGGGAGAGGAGAAAGAGGGAGGCTGGATAATGGAGGGATACATTTTGGGGTTCTACAGCACATTGATGTTACAGTTCACAAGAACTGTAGCATTAGATGCATTAATAGCTGCACACTGTTGGCTCTTGCCTGCAGTCCTAGTTTCTCAAGAGTCTGAGATCTGAAGATCACAGTTCAAAGCCAGCCCAGGTAGAAAATTGCTTAAGATTCTGATTTCCAATACACCACCAGAAAACTGGAAGTAGAGTTGGGGTTCAAAATGGTGAAGCACTAGCCTTGAGGATAAAAGCTCCAGGACAATGCCCAGGTCCCAAGTTCAAGCCCCTCAATTGACCAAGCAAAACAAAAAAATACTAATAAGTTGTTATTATTATTACATGACAGTAACCTGTTATATATTTTGTGAAGACCCAGAAGAGATGAGCTCAGAGATATCAAACAATAGAAAATTTAAATGAAGCCAGGTATGGGAGATTATAAGACACTCCTATAATCCCAGACTTTGAAAGCTGGAAGAAGAGTAGAGAGTTTAAAGTCATCTAGGCATGAGAGTCAGATGTTGGCTTGAAAATATATTTCTTTAAGGACAGGAATAAAGGGCTGAAAATGCTAATTCCTCTCATTACATGGGTAAGCATCACCTACAACACACTGATAAATCACATCATATCTCACAGTATAACTTAAATAAAAATGGACATATAAAATGAAATCATGTTTTAAAGCATAAAATGAAGTATAATTATTTTCTCCTCAATTGCTCAAATTTCAGTTTATGTGATAGAATTCACCAGATGACAGGAAATGACTAAATTAGTTAGTGTTGGGTGTGTATATGTTCATACATGCTGGAACTGGGAATTGAACTTAGGGCCTTGTACTCAACTTGGCTTTATTTTGGTCAAGCCTGGCACTCTACCACTTGAGCCTCAGCTCTACTTCCAATTTTTGGTGGTTAATGGGGAATAAAGTCTCTGGTGGCACTTTCCTGCTAGGAGGACTGGCTTTCATCCACAATCTTCAGATCTCAGCCTCCAGAGTAGATAGGATTACTGGTGGAGAGACCCACCTTTTACACCCAGTAGGGTGTGGGCCACACCCTGCACAGCCAAGGCAGTATAAATGGCCAGCTCTCCAGTGGATTCAGACACCAGCAGGAGCTGAGAGCAGCCAACTCTGCTCCACAACCAGCACCTCTGGGCTCCCCTCTGGACGCCACTGTGGGATCCTTGCCTACCTCAGACAAGGCTTCAGTCAAAGAATCCAGGAGGAAGCTTCAGGTAAGCTGGTGGCATCCTCATTCTTGGGGGTTTGGCTTTGTTGCCTTATAATCCTGGACTCAGATTTGGGGGTGCGTGGGCAGGAGGAGTTCCAGGATTGTTAGGAAGGACTCAGACATATTTTTGCTTTACTTGTTTTGGATCACACAGTTTTCTGGGGTCACCCTGAGACACAGAGTCTGCTACTTACAAGGCCTTACCCATAACTGAGACAAAAATGAAGGGGTACTAGGCAGAGAGTGAGAGAGGGAAAGAGTGTCTACTCATTATGTGCCAGGTTGTCATTGTTGGATTATGAGCCTCTAGACCACTGCTTCTGGCCACTTCAGTGTTATGGAAAAATAGCTGGATTTTCTGTGGGGAGGTGGTGGTAAATATCTTATGTGTGCGGGTGTTATGCCTAGGCAACAGCTTGAATTCAGGCCTCACATTCTTGCTTAGTTTTGTTCAAGTCTGGTGCTCTACCACTTGAGCCACAGCTCCACTTCTGGCAATTGGAGAAGAGTCTCATGTGCTTTGTCTTCCTGTGCTAGTGATCCTCAGACCTCAGCCTCCGGAGAGACACCAGAAAGTGACTTTCATTTTCTTGTTAGCTCTTGGTCAGAGCCTGGATGTTTATTGTCCAGTGTCTAAAAACCATTGGCTTAGCCACATGCCTGTGGCTCCTGACTGTAATCCTAGCTATTCAAGAGGCTAAGATGTGAAATCAAGGTTCAAAGCCAGCCAGGACAGGAAAGCCTGTGAGGTTTTTTTGCTAGTGCCTAGTGCTAGTGCCTGAGCACAGTCCCTGAGCCAATCTCTGGTCAAGGCTAGCACAGTGCCACTTGAACCCCAGTGCTACTTACAGCTTTTTCTGTTGATGTGGTACTGAGGAATGGAACCCAGGGCAACATGCATGCTAGGCAAGCACTCTAACACTAAGCCACATTCACAACCCCACCTTAACTTTTTAATGCCAAGTTGCTGGAGAAAGGGGACACAGATTGGAGACACTTTCTTGGTTAATAGTCAGAATCTGAAGCTCTCAGTGTTATTTTTGTATAGGTACTGAGACTTGAGCACAGGGTTCAGACACTATCCTTTATTGGGTTTTGTTGTTATGCTTGCTTTTTGAGAGACAATTTGACCAAGGCTTTTTCCTGATGGTAACTGGCAGTAAGAGTCTCATGGACTTTCTGTCTTGGGCTAGTTTCAAACCTTGATCCTCACATCCCAGCCTCCTGAATCTAGGGATGGGTCCTGGGTGCCTAATCCTCCCTTATTTTAGAATGTGCTTGTATCTCCAGAGAAGTCCTGAAAGGTTTTATTTCCAATGATCTGATGTGACTTTCATTAATTTTCATTAATCCTTTCATTAATTCACAAGGAAGTCACTGAGAGATCCTCCTTCTAGGAATGACGTGTTAGTTTTGTGCTACATTGCTGGGGATGGAACCTAAACCTAGGTATGAGATCTATGTGTGAATGTAACCACCGTTCCTCTCTTATTCTTTCAATTAGGTTTCAAGTTCTCAGATTAGATCTACAAACACCCAAACAGTAATGGAGAGACAGGAAAATCAAGCAACCACAGCAACCACAGGTACAATGTGTTCAGAGTTCTATCTCGACCAGAGAAAACTTCCTAAGTCTCCAACTTCCAGAGATTGACATGCTTATGCTAGACCCCAACATGGGCATGGCTCTGGGGATGACATGGCTGACCTCAGCCTTGTCCTGACCCCTGGGGCCTAGGAGCCACAGTGTTTATGAGAGGACCCAGTAAGGGTAGGGGGCTTTCCAGGTAGCAAATATACCACTAAGGGTCTATCTAGTCTCTGAACTGTAGTATTTTTAGTTCCATTTGAACAGCATCTAGATCTGTCCCGGTGAATTGATGTGTTGGGCATTAAGACTCAGATAGATCTGAGTCTCAAATCTTCACCCTGTTAAGATTTGATC